TTCAGCCTGGCCAACATGATGAAACCCCATCTCTACTAGAAAATACAAAAATTACCCAGGCATGATGGTGCATGCCTGTAGTCCCAGCTATTTGGAAGACTGAGGCATGAGAATTGCTTGAACCTAGAAGGCGGAGGTTCCAGTGAGCTGAGATTGCACCATTGCACTCCAGCCTTTGCAACAGAGTGAGCCTGTCTCAAAGATGCAAACGATCAGAACAGGTAACATTTACTGTGCCCTTATGTCCAGGCGGTGTTCTAAGTTTTTTAAATGTATTAACTCATGCGATATTCACAATGATTGCATGAGGTAAAACTTTTTGTTCCATTTTACGGATGAGGAATAGAGTGCTAAGTGCCTTAGCCAAGGTCACACAGCTGCTAAGTGGTTAGAACCAGGATTCTGCTCCCAGCAGTCTGGCTTCGGAGCCTGTATGTTAATCATCATGGGGTCCATGCTAATGCTAAGGATTGCTGTGAGAGCCAATGATTCTATGTCTTAGGGATCTATACTAGCACTAAGAGCTGCTGCTCTGATGGCTCAGTGATTTGGAGGGGGAGGAGGGACAGGGAGAGGGTCTCTCTTAGCACTAGTGATGGTCATGGTACTGACTGCAGGATTTAGAGGCTCTTTGCAGAAATCTAGTTGCTGTGTTTCTGGAAGGGAATAACAGAGCCATGATTTTGTTTGGACAGGTCTGAAGTGGGGAGGGAACTCGGTCAAGGTGAAGAACTACATCAGCTTCTCGAGCATCCTCTTCTCTCACTTCCCCTCTTCCTCCCTCGCTCCTTTCAAAGAGAGAATGAGAACAGTCCCTCCCTGGGTGATATGGGCCTGGGGGCAGGGGTGGGGTTTCTAGCAAGGCTGCCTTCACACTGCCCAGGCAGGCAGCCTCAGCTGCTTTTGCAGGGTTCCAGTTTGGGGGGTGCTCATGGAGTGTGGCTCGAGGGAAGGGGACTGTCAGACTCCCAAGCAGCAGCCTTCACTAAGGCCTAGATCGCTCAGAGAGAAAGGAGGACACCTGAACAGCCACAGAAAGCCAGCCCAGGAGACTGCAAAGTCCTCTTTGAGGCACCTCTTCCTGACATGACCCTTCCCTCTACGGGCCCTGGAAACATACTGGGCAACAGGAGCCTGATCCTGCCGGCCTGGCTTAGAGCCCAGAGTTCCGGGGCAGCTCCAGCGTTTCTGTAGAGGAGGGACTTAGGAGTTGCCATCTCATTGGAAGGGAGGTAAGGGGCCTTTATTTTAGTCTGTGGACTTATTTGGAGGTGACTTTGGGAGGATGCTGATAGAGATTGGGAAGGAGGCTGAAGTCTCCCCAATCCTACCCTGGCCACCGTGGCTCTGCCAATGCCTGCTCCCGCAGCTCCACGCCTGGGGTTCATTTGTGCTGACACCTGAGGCCAACCCAGGGACAGTGCAGAGTCCTGTGCTTGGGCCGCAGACTGGAGAGGCAGTCTGGTTGGGGAGGAGCTGGCTGCAGCTGCTGTCTACCTTGTCCAGGAAGCCTAGAGGGAGACGTTAGGATTTCAGGAGCCACTAAGTGAAGGGGGTGCTGCGGAGGAGAGAGAGTTGGGGGTCAGGGAGAGGAGGGATAGTTAGAACCCTGGGGAGAAGGCTGAGGCTGGAGTAATAGGCTCCTTCCTTTATTCCTTCAGCCCTTCGGTCTTCCCCAGCCAGCGCTAACACTGCTATGCCAAGAACGGCACTGCGCTGGTCTCTGTACATACATGATCCTGTTAATCCTTATGAAAAGTCCGTTTTATAATCAAAATCCTCATGTCGCAGGAGAGAAAGTTGAGGCTTAGGGAAGTTATGAAATTTGCCCGTAGTCACACAGCATACAGAGGCAGCACGAGGATTTGAGGCTGCAGGATTCGAGGTGTTTGCTGAGTGCCTACTGCGGGCCAGTAGGCTAGATGAGCAGGGGTCCTTGCCCTCCTGGAGCTTACAGTCTAGTGCTGGGGGGGAGACTAGAATAAGGAAGGATGAGGGCGATGAGGGCTGCAGAGGAGACGCACGGGACACAGAGGAGAGGTCAGGGCACTGGGACTGTCAGGGTGGAGGAGGCTGGCATGGTGCATTGGGGCACGGAGGACAGAATGGGTAAAGGCTCTGCAGCAGGAAGGAGCATTGCCCTTCTGGACCCTGGGAGTGGGCAGCGCCAGGTCAAGCTGGAGGATTGGTAAGGGCCACATCTAGAGATACTGGTGCAGGAAGCCTGAAAGGAGAGGACAGGGGAGGATTGACAGTCAGGACCTAAGGAGCACCTGGGGAGGAGGGCGGCGCTCGAGATATGCACCCAGCCCACACAGGCTCACAAGACCCAGCTCCACGCCCTAACCCACCTCAGGACCTTAGGTGAGTCAGCCTCCCTTTGGGGACTCCCTGTGCCTCAATGGAGTGAAGGATTATCCCTTCCTCGCTCTGCTGCCTCCGGGGAAAGTTGATAAGAATCAAGTGAAATTAAGACTGTCAGGCTGTCATTGTCATCCCTATCAGGGGAAGGGTCCTCTTCGGCCTGAGGGGGCTCTGAGTGAAGCACAGCTGTGTTTCCTCTAGGGGACCCACCTTGTTCCCATCCCTCCCCCATTTTAGCCCAGCCACTGCCTGTGCAAATGTCACCCGATCCTTTCACACTCCATCAGAATTCCACTTCCGCCCAAGAGGTGAAAGGACATACTGGAGGCAGCATAGACATTAAACACGGTATTTTCAGAAGGAGCAGACATGACCTTACAGAAGTGCTTTATTTTCTGTAATTAGACTTTATTTTGCTGGAGGCAGCTTTGCGTAAGACTCAGGCGTCTCTTGGTCCATTTTATCAGAAGGGACCGTGGGAGTCATTTCATCCATCCCTTTTCATCTAAGCAGCACGGCATTCCAATCATGAAGGCACAAGCTTTCCCTGTCACACCGGATGCTGCCCCAGACCCTTAGCATCAGGAAATCCCAAAGTCGAACCTGAATCCAGCCTGCTGAATGAAATTTCAGCCCCATCCTCCCTCCTCCTAGCAAAAGAAGCGCTGGGGGAGATTGCAAAAAAGAAGCCCTTCTCTCCCCAGGGAGAAACCGAAGAGGAGCAGCCGGTACTGCTCTTCAGCCCAAACACCCATCTCGGGTGACAGGTCCCCTCCTCAGTGTGGGGTGGCGTGGTGGGGGTAGGTTACAGGAGTGTAGCAGTGTTGGGGGAAAAGCCCTGGTGCCCTCCTGCTGAGATTCTGACCTTGAGTCCTTTACCCCAGGTCCCCTTTTCCATCTGAAGAACAGTAAGGGGTCAGCAGACCTGACTAGAGGGTCTCAGGCATGGGTCATCTCCCCCAGCCCGTACGTGAGCACATGCACACACCCTTCCCAACACCCAGGTATGCAGGCGCACACTCCCCCACAGGACCAGCAGCCTGGAAATTCCCGAATCAGCTTTTTCTGCAGTCCAGGGTCTGTGACAAGCGAACTGCTGCGTTCTGAAGAGAGGCTCCATCCAGCCAGGAGCAGCGGCTGCAGCAGCACTGCAGACCCTGCTTGGGCTTCGGAAGTGAGGTCTAGGTCCTGGGACAGGGGACGCCTGGGGGAGGGAGGATGAGGGCGATTCACGGCGGGTATTGGGAATTTCCCAGTTCCCCAGACTCTGTGGGCATGAGAAGCCCTGGAAAGCCCTGAATGACTGCCCACCCCACAACACACATGCACACAGGATTTTACGGGGGGTGGGGGGCGGTGAGGAATGTCACTTCCTGGGTCAAACACCAAACGAGTCCTGGCTGTGCCTGTGCAGAGCGGAAGCAAATAGAAGGAGAGGCTGAGGGAAGAGGGCTGGGGTGGGGTGGCGCTGGGAAGGTCGGGGGTGGTTAATGGCTGGACAGCGGCAGAAATTTCCACCTGGGGAGTCTTGGCCCCGAGGCCTTATCGGATGGGGTTGGGGGTTGAGGGTGAGGACCAAGCGTGAGACTGAGGCACAGGTGGGGTGCCCAAGCTCTCGGTCCTCCCTGCCCGTCCTGGTCCTCCTGGTGCTCGCGGCAGGTGTCAGCCTCGCATTTCCCAAGTGAGAGAAAGCAGAGCTGCAGAGGTAGGCGGTGCTGGGTCCATGGCAGAGCGCTTCTGCTGGACTCCTATCTGGGGGACCTTCTGCTGGAGTCCTATCTGGGAGCAGGCACAGGGTCCTGTGGCAGCTGATGCTCCCTCCTCTCCCCGCACCCCGTACTCCTCCATCCCCCCATTCTCCCTCTCCAGGGGGCCTGTGAAGAGCCCCGACCTCACCCTCTGGGACGGACTGAGGCTGGGGACCGTGGGCTGCCGGAGCCCTCAGGGCGAACTCCCCAGCTCCCCTTCCCGTGCAGCATCTTCCTTTTGTTCCATCTCTCTTCTCCCTCCCTTCTCTCCCTCCACTCAGGAAAACCTTCATCCGTATCTCCTGAAGCAAATCGTTTCCCTCACACCCCCGCCCGCCGCACACACGCTGTTCCCTGCAGCCAGGGGGTCCCCTCCCCGCCCACTTCCCCAGCCAATCCCCTCACCCGAGAGGCTGTAAACTCGGGGCTGGCAGGTGGGGTGGGGAGTGTCGCAGGAGTGCACGGAGCGGGGCGGGGACTCCTCCGCAGAGTCAGGGAGCCTACGAGGCCCCGGGTGGTGGGAAGCCGGCCCCGCCCTCCCCAAACTTCTGTAGGACGCGCCAGTTTAAACCCCTCTTCCCCCAGCGCAGCCCCTCCTCCACACGCCGCCGCTTCCCAGGTCGCCCGTTTCCCACCCGTTGGCTGTCCCGGACCGGACCGGAGAAGGGGGGCGTGGGCTTGCGAGACGATCTGTTGGCCTCGGGGATTGCCTGGGGCGGGGGCCCTGCGTCGAGGTTTGCCCTCGGAGGGGCCGCACGCGCTGTGTACTGGCAGATGTGAGGAGCATCTCAATTGGCGGGCGGGGGAAGCAGGATCAGGTTGTTACTACTGCAGAGAGAGAGAGAGAGAGAGAGAGAGAGAGAGCGCGCGAGCGAGCGAGCGAGAGAGAGCGAGCCAGCCGAGAGCTAGCGAGCGCGGGAGCAGGGAGCCGGCGGGTGCGCGTAGAGCCGCAGCGGCGGGCCGGCGGGGACGTGGGAAGCGGGACCTGGACTTCGGGACCCCAGCTGTCCCTGCCCCGCCCCGCCCCGCCCCGCTCTCACCACCAGCTCTGGCAGAACGGTCCGGAACATCCCAGGGTAAGAGGGAACCCCAGGAGGGGTGCCCCACGAGGGCAGCCCGTAGTCCCAAATGAAGCAGTGCCTCCACCGACAGTGGCCACCCCTAGGGAGCGGGCGGACCAGGGGTCTCCGAATGGGGACACTCGGACTTTTGGGGCTTGGTGCTCACCGCGGGGAGAACTAAGTGAGAACTGTGCCCGCGGTGGGGACTGTAATCCGGAAATTCACGGGCGTCGGAATTACCCGGCTATTCTCAGGGGAGGTGTCCTGAATTATCTCGGGATCCCCTCACCCCCAACCTGTTTCTCCCCGTGGAGATCCCAGGTCCGACTCGGGAGAGAAGGCGAGAGAAGCCGCGGTGCCTCTGCGCTGGGACTGGGGACCTGCTGGGAAGCGAAGGCGCTCGCTGCAGAGAAGCTGTGGGAAGGGCGTGGGGAGGTGCATGAAGTGGGCGTGCAGGGAGAAGTGGGTGCGGGGCGCGTGGGACCCCGCTGCACCTGCTTCGTTGAGGAGGAGCTGGAAGACCACGCGCGCGTGACGCTGGGGAGCCCCTGGCACAGAGTGGGGTGTGCTGGGGGCACCGGCGGTGTGTGGGGCTGGCTGCCTTTCTTAACCCCCTGCCAACCCGCCTTGCCGCAGCCATCCAGGGTTGGGATGTGTGGCTGCATTTTCCACCCGTTCCTCTCCCAGGAACTTTCACACACTTTAACACAAGCCTCGGCTCTGTGCATTGGAGGAAGTAGGCTCCTGGGGATCCTGGCAAGCTTGCAGATACCCGGGAGGGCGATGGGAGGAGGCAGCTGGGCAGTGGGAACCAGCGCCCAACTCAGTTTGCTGTGTGACCTTGGACAAGCCACTGTACCTCTCTGAATCTAAGGATGATGGAGGCGCGTGGTGCCCAAGACTGGAATGGGGACAAGGTGGGGGAGGGTGTGCGGGGGAACAAGCTCCCGGGCAAGCCTGCCCCAGCCTGCCTGGGAATTACGGCCTTTGGTCACTGGCCTCTCTTAAGTGAGTTCAGTGCTCACTTCCGGGGCAGGGGGTGGCTAGGTGGAGCTGTGAACCCAGTGCCCCAGGGAGAGTCCGAAAGCTTCCTTTCTGATCTGTCCCATGACCTTGGGCAACTCACTGACCCGATGTGGGCCTCAGTATCTTCATCTGGAAAACGGGGTTTGGAATTTAAGGTATCAGGTTTCTCCCAGTCCCAACACCCTACAGGTGCCGCCCACTGAAAGCATGGAGGTGGGGTGCAGCTGGGTAGAATGACCTAGCCTCTGGGAAGATGGTAGCTCCCTCCTGCACCCCCATGCCAAAGTAGCAGGCCTGTGGCACCCTCAAAGGTTCGCTGGTCATCTGTCCCCACTGTCAGAATCCAGCTGAGAAAGGCCTGCTTTCCAGCATTACACATCCTCTTTGCAGACAGCAGATTCTTCCCTGGGGAAAGGTTCCCAGTGACAGATAGATGACCATTGGTTAAAGGGTGATGTCACAGACCTCACAAGGTCATGCAGTCTGCTCTCTACCTCCAGACAGGGCTGCATCCACCTCAGATAAGGAAGATCTGAAGGAATCCTCTCGTTTTTAGGAAGATGTCCACTCCAATGGCCTAGAACTCCCCATTGTGCAATGTGACAGTCCTTGGCACAGCAAAGTCTAATCTAACTCCTTTTCGGGATGAACTCTGCTCCTGTCTTCAGTTAAGATGAAACAATAGCTTCTTACTGGGCTTTCGGGTGTTGTGGATGAGTCCTGGTTTGAGACATGAAAACTGAGTTTAATTTACAGGCTGTGCTTCCAATTTGTGTGACCTTCTGTGACCTTGGGCAAGGCTCTTTCTTGCTTTCCTCCCATGTACATTGAGAAGGTAGAACTAGATAACTACTCAGGCCCTCGCAACCTCACAATTCTGTGGCTGCAGTTCGGGGCTGGTGTCTGAGTAGCAGGAAGTGGGCTTGGCTGGATGACAGGAGCAGGTGGTCTCCAGTAATTCCCAAAGCATGGCCCTCCCACTTCTGTCACCAGAGTCGAGACAACTTGAGAGAAAATACTGTGCGTGAATTACAAAGGCCAGCACACCCCTGGAGGGAGTCCCCAGGAGACCTTGGCTCTCCTGGTTATTAGCTGTGTGACCTTGAGCAAATTACTTTATATCTTTGAGCTTCAGTTACTCAGTAGTCAAAACAAAATGAGAAGAGTGGTGGCATTTTAGGGTTTTTATGAGGATTAAACAAGAAGCATATGTAAATACTTGGTCCAGTGCCGAGTTAAATCCTCAGTGAGTGGTAGCTATTGTTAATAATAATACCTTGCCGTGGAGCCAGCAGGCGATAGGGCAGCTGTGAGCAGTGGCCACGGGGAGCAGGGAAAGATTGTGGGCTTGCAGTGTGATCTTCCCCTACCATCTTCAAAGCTTCCCTACAAAATGGTAACATCAGCTCGCTCGCTCTGTCTCTCTCTGTGACCGTTAGGACCATCTGCAGCAGAAACTTCATGAGAAACAGAGAGACTGCTTGGCTTTCCCGTAATCCCACACCTGTTTTCCTTTGGTTCTCCCTTCCCCACGCTCTGCCACACCTCTGTGATTATGACAAAAGGGGCCTTTTACTCCCTTCCCCAAACCTTCTAGGAATGGACCAACTGAGAACCAGAGAGGGGTAAGGCCAGATGTCCCTGGAGTGAGTGGCCGAAGGCGTGCCTACAGCCTGGTGGAAGGAGTGGCGAAGGGACGGGCTCAACTTGGAGGAAACTCCCAGGACCCCAGGGCCAGGACTGAGGTTTACCCCAGATGTGCTATGTGACCTTAGGCAAAGCGGACTCCACTGTGGACCTCAGTTTTCTCATATGTGAAGTGCAAGCTTGGTTTAGATGACCCAAAGTCCTTTTGGTTCTGCCGATCCATGGCCTGGCTGGCTCTGCCTTTGCCGAGGCAGGGTGGGGTGGGGTGGGGGGTTTGTTGGAGCCGTTCAGACTTTGGGTGTTCCCTGCCCCTTCAGTCCAGTCCTGTAAGTCAGCTTGGGGAGAGACGATGATCTCCCTTCTTAGTAAGAGTGCTGATGGTTAAGAGCAAAGCCTTTGCCGATGTCTGCAGCCAGGTGGAAGGAGTGGCAGAGGGACAGGCTTAACCTGGAGGGGGAGTCCCAGGACCCCAGGGCCAGGACTGAGGTTTACCCCAGACCTGCTATGTCTAGGTTCCCATCTTGGCTCGCTCCTTAATATCCATGTGGATTTAGGCAAATTATCAACCTCTGAGCCTCAATGATCTCATCTGTGAAGTGGGAATATTACTTACCTAGAGTAGGAAGTCCCTAGTGTGATACTGACCGGTGTACAAGGAACGGGTTTTTGAGGTTCTGTGTTTTCACAGAGAGGGCTCAAGTTAGAAGAGGAGCAGGGTTACAGTTCACAGTCCTGCAGTTGTCACCATGTACACGCTGCCCCCAAATGCCCCAGTGTCTCCTGTGGCCTCCTGATACGTACTGGCCACAGGCTCCAGGAGTTTGCATGCTCTGGTCTCCATCATAGGGCCCGGAGAGAGGAAGAGCTCAGCCACAGAGGCCAAAGGCCAAGCAAGCGTGAGTCTGAGAGCAGTGTGCTAACAAAAGCCTCCTGATGATGAGGGAACACGAGCCAGCGGTGTGGCACCCCTCCATTCAAGGTTAGTCATGAGGAAGGGCTGTGAGATGCAGCCTTGGAGAAAAGGCTGAAGGAGCGGGGCACTCCGCCGTCCACAGGGATGTGCAGATGAGTGGCATGGCAGGGCCAGGCACTGAGAGGGGCTGTGGGATCATCTCATGCAATCCTCAGATTTTGATTATGGGGAAACTGAGTCTTAGAGAGGGGGAGCTCCTTGCCCAGGACCAGACAGCACATTAGCACCCCACAATGGAGCTTGCTGGCCCTCGTAGACCCTCAGTCCATGCTCCTTCCTTCCTCCCTGTTATGCACCGAGCAGTTATTTTCCATCTTTTCTAAAATCAGAGCACAAGGTAAAATGCCTTGACTGCAGCAGAAAGGACGTGGGTCCAGATAGGAAGGAACTTCCTGATCTACATACTGAGATCATGGTGTCCAATCTTCCCATTTTGTAGAACAGAACACAGAAGCCCAAGAAAATAAAAGAACTAGTTTAAGGTGACCCTTAATTCTCAGACACTTGAATTCCCAGGCCTGAGCTCTCTCAGTTACGCCTTGAGCCACACTGCTGCTCTTGAGCCAGACAGGGCAGCAGGATAGCCAAACGTGAAAAAAATAAACCCAGATGGGCTTGGGGAAGGGCGGGGGGACAGAAAGACAAAAGACCGAAAGACAGAAATATTACTTCCAAAACCACGCTTTTCTTCCTCGGCTTGTCTCAGTTGGCCCCTGCTCAGCTGTGGAGGCTGACAGCCTGCTTTGCCCTCTGAGAGCAGAGAGGAGGGAGACAATAGCCAGCCCCACTGGTCTCACTTCCATTGACAAGGCTGAGTGAAAGAATGTCAGTATTTGCCCAGTGGCAAAGGACAAGGAGTAAGTCTGACTTGGGATGGGGCGGGGTAGGGGCTTGCAGGGTTAGGTGGTGGGGGGTGATTCTGAAAGGAAAGGCTGCAGTGTGTCGGGCCTCGGGTGTGAGCACTTGACTTCTAAGGGAACCTTTGGATTTTCCGCATTAAATAACCCTTTGTATCTCGGAGTGCATCCGGCCCCATTCGCAGGCGCCCTCCTCCTGGAAGCCCTGATCCCTAATAAATTTTCCATATTGTTTGGAGCTGACACCTCCCCAGCTTTCAGCTCCCTGGAGAAATGGAACTTTTAGAAGCTTTTGCGGAAAGGCGTTGGAGCAGATGGCCCATCAAGCAGGTCTCGGGCAGAAGCTGCAGCAGCTGCGAGAAATGCTTGCTTCCTTATCTGGGAAAAGTCCTTGGCAGGTCAGGAAAGGCTGTGAATATTTTTTTTTTCCTGCCTTTGTTTTGTTATCTTTCCATTTTTCTTCTCTGCATCCTGCTCCCCTTTTCTCCATGTCCTGAGACTGGAGAGGGCTG